TAATTTTTTAAAAATCAAATGGATAAACACTGATGCTATACATTATTATTATTATTATTATTTCTTAAAGCTTGTATAGAATACCTGTTAAAAACGCATACTCACGTCCGCCCAGAGGCTAGTAAAAGATGCGAGTGCCTGTTAGTGTTAGAGTTAAATTGCCATCTCAAAGTCTAATATTCTCATCCTCTATAATTAAATTTGTTCTTCTCCTTTTTAAAATAATTTTTTTTAATTTTTAATTTATTTTAAATTTAAATTGTTGCTTTTTTAATTTTTTAAAGTAAATAAATCTATTTTCTCCCTTTAACTTTATCATTATTTCTTGACTTTAATTGATCATCCTATTACAAGAAATCTCTTTCTGTTTTTTATTTTTTTATGAGTAATAGAAATAAATACATAAATTATTTTAAAATTTTTAATTTAAAAAAAATAAAAAAACTGACCATTATTTTAAGATAAATAAAGTATATATCTAGAGGTGGCACAAGATGAAAATTGAGTGAGGGGGCAAAATTGAGCATTTTTTATAACACTAGTTAATTTTCTTTAGAAAATTTATAATTTTGATTGCCTTTTAATTAATATTTCCTTTAAAATCTTAATAAAATTAAAAAAATGAATTTATTTTCTTCATTCCATATTTCTAGTAATTTTTTATTGAATGAATAATTTTACTAAGATAAGAAACAATACTTAAACAATGGATCAACTAGTTTAAAAACTTTCAAAATCTTATTCTTTCCATCCCAAAATGTTTTTATTTTTTTCTTTATTTGTCTATTAAAATTGATCTTTTTCCATCCTTAGAAACTAAACAATATAAAAGAGGGACATATAATTCAGTAACTAGAAACTAAAATCATTAACTAAATAAAGACTCAAATCCTTTTTCAACAAATGTTTTCATTAATCAAATCACTTTATAAAATAAGTGACAAAATTTTTTTAAAAAAATCCTAAAACAATTCAAAAACTTGAAGGGAGATCATCTTTGAGTTTGAGTTTAATTAAGAACCTTAATTTCTAATATATTTGATATGCAGAAAATTTATTTATTTATGTTCTCTCTATATTTGAAATGTTG